GGCTTTCCAGATCCCCTAGATGGATTTTCAATATCCACTGACTTTATTATAGTGCCGGATATTTGCTTTTCATCCACTCGATTTCTTGAACAACAGTAATGCTGCGAGAAGGAAGTGGGTAGGACTTCCATGTCAGTGATTGTATGCACATGACCACTTGAGAGCACTTCGAGAAAGAGAGACGACACTCCCCATTGTTGGCCCAACCAGGGTATTTGGAGGCTACAAGTATTTAATTATAGTTAGTTTCAGATAATTGGTCAAGTTTCTCTGAACCATTAATTTGGTAATCTTAATATTAGGCATAGAGTGTTAAATATATATTCAAGTTAGATCTTCGTCAACGGAGTTTTATATACAACATGAACAATTCAGACAACACCTACGCCGTAGTGCTAACCTGGATAATGTACATATATGTTATACGACATTACCCTCCACCTATAGAGTCATTGACTCTTACTATAAACAGTGTAAAAACATATTGACTATGAATTTGAAAGCTGGAATACAATCATGTCCAATATTTGAGGAAATTATATGACAGACAGTCACAGTGACACAGATTCATTCACTGAGTACACTTTCGTCAGTTTTGAATATAGGATTATTATATATTTTGAATTTGCTGATTCTAATTGTTTCTTACCAACGCCTTTTAAATTTTTAACTTTGTTTCAAGCATTTTATTCACTTACAGATATGAGATAAATTCACATTTAATGTCATGCATCATACAATTCTGCTTTAAACAGGTATCTAACTTGGAAGCTGTCTAACATTGTAAGTAAGTTATTAATGATGTTGACGTGAATTGACATACTTGATCAGAAGATATAAAACATGTATATAACTATCAAATATAATAATACATTGTAGGAGCTGAATAGATAAATAGATCCTTTCAAGGTGATTTGAATAACAGCTACAGATTGATGTGTGGTCGATGCTACTTATATCAAGAATTATAAGTAGTATGTAACACTAATTAGAAGTGGAATGGTTAGCAGTAGAAGATTGAGAAGACCGAATTGAAGAAAACAGGGATAGTAATATCAATAGTAATAAAAGAAACGTTCAAACACAGAGAATATGGTGTGAAAAGAAAAAATGAATTCGTGAAATAAGGATATTTTATTATTTATTATTATTATCATCATCTTTATTCAATATTATATTTTTGGTACAATATAGAATTCTCAGCGCAAAGTATTTCAACAAGTTTCCGTTTCTTTCTTCTTGGTCGGTCCTGGCGATAAATATTGAGTGATAGCCGCTTAGATGTTAGCAGTTCACTAAATGAACATCTGAATAATGTACATTCTTTTCGCTGTATATTGCCAGCAACCACATTGTCTCTTATTGAGTTTTTTGTAACTTTGACAACGAAAGGTTGTACACTTTTCAGAAACGCAGCAGAATAGGTTATGTGGTTAAGAAACATGATGATATATTAAAACAAACAAAAATAGATAACTTGTTGAAATATCTAGATGGCAGGAACAGGTAGCCCAAAAGCTCAAGCAGGCCGCCGTAATACTACAGATTGAACTGAGAGACAGTAACGTCGATCTTGATCAGTGTCATTTAAGATCTTCATCTAATGAATGAAATTGTCTCACGTTCAATAAAATAACGAAATCCACCTCTTCATAAACAGCTCAGATCAATAGCCAACATCGTTTAAAGAATTGTAAATAATTAGTCTCCCTCAGAAATTTAGACAAGTCAGGAACGACGGTTCCTGATTTCACGGACTAATTCCAAATTTTTATTTAACTTCGAGCAATTTTCGCCCGGTTTTTTTCTACGCCAGATTGCCTGTTGTTGGGGCGCACACAGGATATATCTTAGCCAATTAATTCTACGAAGATCTACAACCTCATCAACCAGTTTGTCATTTTCACCTAGGAATATATCTTGTACATGTCAGGTACATATTAGTGTACTTGGTTTTAATGAATAATTTAAGTGTATAAGTGTTGAAAATACTAACTAGATGCCCCAAAAATTGGGTTGAAACCCGTGATTGACAGACTGAGAGTTGAATGCTTTAACTACTGGACAATCCCCGTACTAAATTATCACCATATTGTCTAGGTAAGGATGACAAGTCGACTGATGGGGTGGTAAATTTTTATCAACTGAGGTGGTTGAGACATGCGTAACGTGTACTTAACCACTGTCTGCCTCAACAGGACATGTTGTCTGGTGTAAGAATAGGATGAAACAAAGATGAGGGTGCACAAACAAAACATATGGCATCTGTCCATGAAATCACTCACAATAAAAATAAATCATGTTTGTACGTGTAGACTGCCTGGTTGGGGTCTGCATGATCATCGAAATCAGTGGTTACAAACTTCGAATGACATGGCTCAGAATCATTTGTTTGTGCCACAGCTTCATTCGTTCTTTGGTTTCATCAAAATTCTAAGCTTCTGAACTACTCATAGTGTCCTTGGCTTTCATTTTACTGATTTATATTTTCCTGAATCGTATCTTCGATGCCTAGTCTGTAGCGTCTAGTACTATTTCACACCAACACGAGTTGTTCTAGCTTTCAGACAAACCGTTTAATTTATTCTTCCTACATCACATTTTGACCTTTTCAATTATTAACTCAGCAATCCTGACTGATTTCAATTGAGCGTGTGTGTGTGTGCGTTGCTCACCCTATTCATCACATGGCTTCAACTTATTTTCGTCTGGCTATAGATATTGAATCATACTTGATCAAATTGTGTTGGCGCACTTGCATTCCCCAGTCTGCTTCACCAGCTCGTTTCTCTTATTGTCTGTCTCGGATAACCAGTGTATAAAATATACCTTGTCAAACTTCATTCTCTTATTTGATTTATTCTGTTATTCTGTAACGCGACTTAAGTCGATAATTATATGAGAGGGTAGGTTGGATGTATATTTCATTAACATCATCGTTCGACCAAATTGGAGTCAGACCAATAGGCCACTAAGTCTTTTCTGTTACCACTGTTACTGTAACTACTCCTACTACTCTGAGATCCGCTCTAACAATTTCATCTTGCAGTGCAAATGAAGTGTTGCAACTTGAACCGATATACATATGTACAAGGTTTTACGTTGCGACTGACTAAATGACTGATAGAGTACTATTATCAATATAATATGAAAACTAACCTTGGATTGATTGGTTTCATTGGATCATCTAATAGAGCAGAAAAAGTATGACCAATTGATTCACTTAAAGTATTCAGATAAGAACCACCCTTGAAAAACCAATGACGACAAAAAGTTTAACAACAACAATAACAAGTGACAGTAATATAAGCAAATTAAAAAGAATTCACAATCGAATGATAGGAACTGGAACTACCTTTCATTCATTCAAAGCACAAATAATTTAAAGAAAGCTATGAAGTAAATTAATAGTATTATTTTCTACTCCCACTCAAGACCTTCTTACGGCGAGGGTTGTTTTTATGAAAATGAAAAGACGACAGGCAAATGTACAGCACTTCAATCGGGTTGTTGAATAAAGAGTATTCACCTACAGAAATTGGAAAATTCTGATTCAAAACCAATGTTGTGAATGAACTCCAGTATCCTGAGGGAATCAATTGTGTTTGAACCTATTCTTAGTCACCAGCTACCATGGAACCACATTTCACAACCCTACTCCACCACCTTATGGATTGAATCTCTAGATCAAAGACTTGGGGAGTGGCCCTCTAAGAAAACAATCTGCTTTGGTTCAGGCAATCAAACAATATTCCAGCCCATATACGAATTCAATGATAACTAATTTGTATGGCGTATAAATATTAGAGTTGCCAATGTACCAATATTTATATGTTCCAATAAAATAAAATAAACAATTTTTTCGAAAGTAATGCTTTATTCTATGAACTAACAGCAGTCCAAGCAACATGAACACAGAAATTTTACTTCTTATTTTATGGTACCATAGAATAGTGTGCACGACAAGGATGAAAACTGTGCAAGAAATTGAAAACATTGTCAACAATATACAATAAAATACATAGATTTTCAGAGAGTAGTTTCGAACCCGAGCTTATATATATATATATATATATATATATATATATATATATATATATATATATATATATATATATATATATATATATATATATATATATATATATATATATATATATATATTGAATAAATAAATAAACTTGTCATAATGACAATCAGAAGTAGCCTAATTAGAAGATCAATCGATGGCAATCAGAAGTGACGTTGCGGACAAGTGCACTTCATTGGCTAAGAATTGGACGAATTTACTTGAAATTAGAGTGGTATACATATGAATGAGTATTTGTGCATTTTATTCTGTAGTCAAATACACTTTGTCGCTCAAGTAGTCAGTTAGGTGTGGGGGGTTAGTACACTGTGTAATAATATCAGATTTTGAACACCGTTCATCACAACAACAGTTGTCAAATCTCTGTTCTTCAGTCTCTTTCTTGTTTGTTTATTTTTGTGCCCAACAATATACTTACTTAGTTTATGATGATAATATGTCCAAGCATTTTACGAACTTGTGACATGTTACATTTACCTATTGTAATGTGCCAATAATCTTATATGTTACTTTATTGATTTTGTAGGCATACTGTTTAGTGTCCGTTGATAATTTCTAAAAACTGGTCAATACAGATATGTACTGTATTTTAATTCATAATATCTGTTGTAATTTAGTTAGTGACTAACTATTTGAATGATTTGCTACCTTTAAGGTTGTATTTTTAACATCTGAATATCTGACTTGTATCAATAATTGTTTTCATGAATACTACAGTTGTCAAATAAGAAATTGCATGTACCGATTTCGAAACTTTGTATATCACTTGAATCTTCAAAAAGACTCGATAGTAGTAATATGTACATTCGTCATATTTAGGTCAGATGTCTCACGCCGTTTATAAATGAAGGGGATATGAGTAAAGCAGTTATTAGTTTCATAGAGAGGAACTACCATAAGATAATAATAATAATAATAGTATTACTAATAAAAGTCCTTAATATGTTAATGGATTGTGTAGTGTCTGTTATTATGCCAAGCCGATATACCTTATTCTAGCTTTCGGACATCCCATTTTATTCATTCTACTTGAGCCGTACTTTAACCTTGTTATTTATTCGCTTATCAATCTAGACTGTTTTTATATGAGCGTATATGTGTGTGCCCTTCCGATCCTATCAATCACATGTCTGTAGCTTTATTTTGTCTGACTATAAATATTGAGTAACGCTTGACTAAAATGGGGAGTTGGCTTCCCAGCCATCTTCCCTGCGTGTCATTTTGTTTTGCTTTCTTTCAATCGCTTCATAAACAAAATATATATATTCACAAATCAGTTCTCGTTATTCGACTTATTTAATTCCGTTATTGACTGACGCGATTTAAGTCGACGATTATATACGAGAATAGACGATAGCAAACATTTATACGATCTTGGAGTCAGATCCACGGGCCACTAAAAGTGCTTACTTACCACAGGACAGACAAATGAAGAATGATATCCAGCGGAAACAAGTACTAATTCCGGATCATACTGAGAAAGAATGAAAACAGAATCAATGGACAGAAAACTGTTAGTTAACGAAACTAGCATAGTAGCCAATATTATGTTTGCTTAGTCTTTAATAAATAACCGTAATCCATTAATAATTAGATTGGAATAAGAATACTAGCCCAAATAGCTGGACATAGTAATGTACTTTATAATGTTAACTGATTAGAGACAATAGAGACCGACTAATTCAGTGATAAACTTTCAAATTGTGATGGTATGATGATAGTTACAGGAAGATAGTATATACGCCGTTTCTGGTGGGTGACAAATACCACGAGCCCTAGAATCTAGGACATCCAAAACACTTCCTTCAACCAATGAACATCAGACAAGCACTTCAAAAGAAAATGATGAAAACGATGGTGCGGCTGTGAGTTAAACCAGGTGACTAACCGGAAGTCACGGAACAAAGATGTATTCTTGAGGAATCATCGGTGTACACTGGCGAAAAGACTCATATGAGGACGAAACAGATGTATAATGCTTCCTGGTTTCCAGAGGAGCCGCAACCAAGATCAACACAAAAATTAAACTGATCTCTACAAAACCCTTTCAACTAAAAATATAGTTATTGGACCTACTTCATACACTTATTTTAAATACGGGAAATCTCTACAAGTGATCTAGATAGAAGTGTAAGACAAACAGAAAATGTTTAAGTTCTTTTTACAATGGCTACTTAGCAAACTGGTAAGATGTAATGATCGTTCATTGTAATCGTGCTACTATAACTGACTTTAATTGAAACTTGTGGTTGTCGATTTGACTTGACACACTTTGCACATGGATCATATTTCTTTTTGCCACCTCTTGAGATTAAGCTGAATAAAGTAGTTCTTCTTTTTGAAACATCTTTCTCACTAAGAATTATATCAAACTTCATTTCCAGTGTTCGTTTGCCTACCAAAGAACGAGTTCACTACCGCTTAGTTTGTTCATTTCCACTCTATGATTGAGGAACGTGGTCTTTAGGAATAGATGTTCGTAGGTGATTAGCGACCTATGCTCCTTCGCGAGGAGTAACAGGCGTAATTAAAGTAAGTCATGTATACCTTCAAGACATTTCTCGTGCATGTTAGGACTGACGAGTAAGCAACAGTGAGGTAGAGATGACAAATCAGTTGATGGAATTGTGAATCTTGATCGACTGAGTTAATTGGGATATGTATTAAGTGTGCTCAACCATTTCATACTGTGATCTGCAATGTTTGCTGGTAAAGGAGCAGTTTGGAGGAGAACTAGGAATGACTAAACTATGACTAGATTTTAGTATACCTATGACTAAACCTCACATCGTGTCAAAACAGAGAAAATTGGGCACTTATTACACTATGCTCACAGTCAAAGTTAGTTGGGGCATGATCTCGTAGCAAGTCATGCCTATGTGTTATTGAAATGGAATTTTCCACGTTCTAATGGATATGTGATATAATTGGTATAGCTGAATTATGTCAAAAGTGAGAGAGCTGTCACTGATGTCAGTAGATGATGATCATAATATACCAGATTTGTGTATTACATCAATTATGAACAATTAATTTCGATCGTATGATTCTTCCCCTTTATTTGTAAACGTAGTGTGCTCTCATTGATTGATATATTTCGATGTGCTCGGCCATATTGAACTGGTCGTTGGAGTAATGAAAAACGAAGCGACGCAGTGAAGGTAGACGAGCCTATTCGATTTGATTAAGCATGATAACAAGTAGGCCTGCTCGAGCATCTGGGCTACCTGTTCCTGCCATCTAGACATTTCACCAAGTTATCTATTTTTGTTTGTTCTAATATATCATTATGTCTATTAATCGCATAAGCTATCCTGGTGCCTTTCTGAAAAGTGTACATGTAGCACGTACTATTAGCGTTTATCTGCAAGCAGGAGCGATCTAAAACACAACACAACAGTCAGGACCGACAGATGCTACTCAAGTGAGAACACGGCGTACGTGCACAACAGAGATATATATTTAAAATTGAATTACGCGGTTTAAGTACAAAAAAGGGAAGTCCATTACAAAATGGTTTTACTCATTATCCCGCAGGTTTAATTTGCGCAAGCTTTGTTCTTCTCCTTCTAGTACGTTCACTTTCTGTTGCCCTGAAACAAGGAAAACAAACTTGCATCAGTAAAGTCACACGTAATGGTTTTTGATACTGATACATACAACCTTTCGTTGTCAAAAAATACAGAAAGCTCAATAAGTGACAATGTGGTTGCTGGCAATGTACAACGAAAAGAATGTTCATTTACTGTACTGCTAACATCTAACTGGCGATCACTCAATATATATCGTCAGGACCGACCAAGAAGAAAGAAACAGAAATTTGTTGAAATACTTTGCGCTGAGAATTCTATATTGTACCAAAAATATAATATTGAATAAAGCTTATAATAATAATAATGATTAAGTATCTATACCCAGACAAGAATAAGTTGAAGACATGTGATGGATAGGGTAAGTAATGTACACACACGCTCATTATAAAATCTGACATGAAAAGAATGAATAAAGAGGTCTGTCAGAAAGCTAGAATAACCCATGTGAGTTTGATAATAATGTCCTGGTAAGGCCGAGAGTGGGGAGAGTCCGCTGTCCTTCTCCAGACGCTCTCACATCGCAACGCGTGTTGGACCAAAAAGTGGACTTAACATTCTGCCTCCAGTCGTTTTACCTTCGATTAATGATAAATACTACTTGTATTTGTCGAAATCAGTAGCACACAACAAAATACCTGTTCCCTACCTCCTCTTTTTTGTTAGTCATTATGACAAGTTTATTTATTTATTCAATATATATATATATATATATATATATATATATATATATATATATATATATATATATATATATATATATATAAGCTCGGGTTCGAAACCAGCCAGACAAGAATAAGTTGAAGCCATGTGATGAATAGGGTGAGCAACGCACACACACACACGCTCAATTGAAATCAGTCAGGATTGCTGAGTTAATAATTGAAAAGGTCAAAATGTGATGTATGGAAGAATAAATTAAACGGTTTGTCTGAAAGCTAGAACAACTCGTGTTGGTGTGAAATAGTACTAGACGCTACAGACTAGGCATCGAAGATACGATTCAGGAAAATATAAATCAGTAAAATGAAAGCCAAGGACACTATGAGTAGTTCAGAAGCTTAGAATTTTGATGAAACCAAAGAACGAATGAAGCTGTGGCACAAACAAATGATTCTGAGCCATGTCATTCGAAGTTTGTAACCACTGATTTCGATGATCACGCAGACCCCAACCAGGCAGTCTACACGTACAAACATGACTTATTTTTATTGTGAGTGATTTCATGGACAGATGCCATATGTTTTGTTTGTGCAATCAGAGTGTAGTATTTATGATAAGGAGTTATGTGTACCATTGAAATACCCATGTACGATGGAGCATGGGCTGAATACGCTCTCTCTCTCACGAAGTGCTTTCAGATGACCACGTGTACATAGCGACTGCAAAGGAAGACCTAGCCACTACACATGTACTTACATCAATATCGGTCACTACCGTAAAAGGTAGACTGCATTCTACCTTATGATAAATACGTTTACTGAAAAGAACGGCAACAACAGAAAGAGTATCTAACTTCATTATGGACAAACTTAAATTCTTTTTGAATTCACTGATACTCTAAGATGTTTGAATATCAAACAAGTAGTAAGGTGATATGTGCAACCGTTCGAATGCACTAGTAATCACTAAAAGTTACACATGTGATAACAAATGAACATGCAGCTTGGAAAACTTTCACATGAGAGGAAACTGACCAAATTAATATTCATTTAGGTAAACAGGGTTTGTAGAGATTATTAAGTTTGAAAGAATAGCATCACAGACTCAACTTAAACAACTATTGAAAATCGAAAGGCAGTAAACAGCTGTGTTTTCATGGTATGGGACACCTCAATGGTACGTATTCGTGACCCGAAAATGATCATTTACTGTATAACTATTACATATATATTCTGAGAAGCCAATAGTTTTTCGACTTCAATAGATCTCAGTTGAGTTATCCTGGTGAATCTGACACGCTACCTATAGCAAATCGATTAAAGATAGATATAGGAACCATTAAATTTAAGAGACTAGAAGTATTGCTTTTCTCTACAAGATTTAAATGTCACGGTGATGCAAACTGCTGAGAAATAAAAAATCTTCCAACTTGGACAGAAATAGTTGTCTATTTTAAAAGATGACAATATAAACATTCCATTGAACAAATTAATATCAATATATTGTGTAAAGTAAACGAGTACTTTCGAGTAAATATCCGTAAACATATGCACAAATCTTGTGTTGCTTTCAGTTTATTCGTTAAACCGCGTTAATTGGTCATGATAAAGAGAAAAAGATATGCTACATTTACCTCATAAGCCAAGGGAAGAACAATCCGATGAAATATATTTAAATAATTGGAATCACCAATATCTTTCTAAAAGTGTACAAAATGAGACAATTAATGATAATAATAATTATTATTATAGTTAGTAGAAGTATTATTGATGATGATAATAATAAAAATAATAATAATCACGCAATGTGCCATGAAGCAATCTGCATGACGATCACGGAACTAATAGGTTTAGTGTTTTTCAAGGAGAAAGAAGTCAAATCGATTTATTTCCGTCCCTCTCTCTTGTAAATATACCTTCAAATTATTTTTATTAGAAGACAACAACAGTGAATTACATGCACAACTAAACACGTCTTCAATAAAAGAGAGAGAAAAGCGGAGGATATCGTTGGAGTAATGAAAAACGAAGCGACGCAGTGAAGGTAGACGAGCCTATTCGATTTGATTAAGCATGATAACAAGGCAGCCTGCTTAAGCATCTGGGCTACCTGTTCCTGCCATCTAGACATTTCACCAAGTTATATAACTGGGTTACAATAAAAACTATATATATATGCTAGAGCAGGTCAGAGGTCAAAAGAAGTTAATTCGAATTGGTTGGTGTAATAATGGAATTGAATAATCATAAGATAGGTTGCGTAATAATAATTAGATGGGATTTGAAAAGTTAAGATAATTTAAGAGGATCAGGTGGTGGGAATGTGTGAATAATAGTGTGGTCTAAGAATTATGTGATAGGGGAGGAGTATAAACATTTTAAAATCAATAAAAATGAAATAAAATAAAAAGGTTACCAGGGTAGCGATCAGTAGTATATTAAATGTAACAAAAATATTGACCAAGAAAAATACAAAATACGCAACTAACTACTTACCTACAATTCAATAGTATAGTATATAAAACCGGCTTTTCTTCAAGAGAAACGATCGTTAACAAATAACGATCGACTATTTCACTCCCATTCCGTAATTCAGTTGTTTACACAGCCCAGTCCAGAAGCAACAACTTACATTTAGAGGGGAAGAAACATATCCCAAACGTCCTCGTATTGTTGCTCAATGCTACCAAAAGACTCCGCACTTTATCAGCGTCTTCACCAAACAGAACTATATTATCTGAGTTTTCTAAGTCGATGAGTATAACTTCTGGAAACAGATCAATGCAGGAGAATTCAGTCGACGAGAACGTCATTCCCAGCAGTAGGTCTGTGATTAAGTTCAACAAAAATGGAGACTGTGGACAGCCTTGAAGGATACCATTTGAGGTCGCAAATTCAGATGACAGTTCGCTATAAGCTCTCACTCGACTGATAGTGTTTGAGTAAAGAGCCTTCACAAGGTTTATGTACTTCGGAGATACACCTTTCAATGACGGACATTGTCAAAGTAACTCTCGGTTTACAGAGTCAAATGTTGCTACCAAGTCAACAAAGACGACCATTATCGGACGCCGACAAGCATACTTGTGTACTAGGTTAGGCGCCCGATAATTACGGAGGCTAGTATTTTAGATGCTATTTTAGTCAAACCAATCCCTTTGTGGCTATCACAATATGATCTTGACCCCTTCTTATATATTGGGACCATTCAGATGGGATTACGTCCAGTTCCTAGATTCTAGCTATTATTAGTCAACCTAATCTCTAAAACTGAACCAGCACTCTTAAAGCCCATAGGAATTAATCCATCTGCTCCTACTTGTTTCAGATTAGCCAAAGCTTTTTAAACTTTCGTCAGTCTCATGGGCCTGTTTCAATATTCCTTTCGGGCTGTTTGAGAATCGTGGGTAGGTGAAGGTCAGTTGAATTGTTCTTTAGTGTTCCGCTGATCTTCCTAAACTTCTGGACTGACGGCAGACAAGCGTGTCGTCTTTTCCAGCGATTGTCCGGTTTCTTTTATTAGTCTGAATAGCTCCTAATACTGCACAATCAGAGTTCATAACGAGCGGCAATCTTCTATCGAGTTTCTCCAACGATGACTAATCGAAATATGATCTATTCGAGTTTATAGTTGGTTTAATGTAGGGGGACTCCATGTTAGAGGATGTCCCTCCTTATGCTTGAATTAGTGCTTGTTAGAAGTAAACGATTGTCTAAGCGTAGTTGCAACAGACGGTCACCACCATCGGTTCTCTGAGCCGGAATACCAAAATACTCACCTAAATGTCTTTCCGATTGGTTGAAGCAACATACCTGGGCATAAAAGTCACTTGCTACGAGTACTATATCTAAGTGTTCAGCTTTTCAAAGAAGTTCAGAAAGCTTTCTGTAAAAGTCATCTTTTAATTCAACCAGGCTGCAGTCAGTTGGAATGCAGGCAGAAATGACAAAAAGACAACAGCGTATTTCTCTATATTTGCAAGTTCTTACGGGGAAGTTTAGGCGAACAGCACACAGGCGACTGTCAACGGGGATCCTTTCTAATAGTGCTTGATGTGCCCTCGTACTCAGTGTCAGGTCAACACACCCCTCAGTCCACGAGAACTAGCCATCTAGTCACCAGATAAACGGAGGAAGTAGCTTGTCGACTCCCCGTTTTGGCTAGGTGATGTCGAGTAAATATGTTTCGGAGAAAAATAGGAAACGATATCGAAGCTAAAATGAAATGGACTACGATTGTGAAAAATAAAGAAGCAAAACACAACACACAAATTAATGTTATCCTACTGGTTCTATCGTAAGCAACAAATATATATATATAAACTGCATAGAAGAAGGGGAAAGAGATAAAATAATAGCGTCCACACACAGAAACCACGTACAAGTGTTCTAAACTAAGAAAGGAAACCAATGTAGACAGGATGGTGAAGTACATTTCTGGGAGATTTTTGGCCGGTGGAAAACGTTTATCTGTCTGAACGCAATAGTGGACTGGGAAAATAAGATAAACGATTTTTAGGCCATAAATAACGAAGTGACCCACCGTCATATAGTTGTGAATTGTCAGTTGGAGATTTTATTTAATTGTAATGCACGAGTTTTACGTTTTGGACGTAATATAACGGGTAATCCAGATGGTGGTCCCATAACTATTTGACTGTCTTGTGATGATGAATCTAAACGGTTTTTGCATACACCAGAAATGCAGTAACAACGCAATGGGACACACGGACGACCAGAACGTCTACAACTACACCGTGCTTGACATGTCCCTCGGCATTTACATCGATGTGTATGTGAATCTGCATTAGATTTTGACTGATTAATGGAAATAAAAATGAATTTATTTAATAACTATGAATATGTACAAATATTGTTAAGTAAATACTTCGGCATTAAACTGTAAAGTGAACTCACTCTTGAATTGCCCACCCAGAACACACTTTATATCACATCTCAATTCACGTTTCCATGTCAAGGAGTAAATGGTTGACAGTTATGATTCAACGTGCAGGAAGTATGAAATAGCTCACGTCAGAACCATAAAGAGATAGAATATGTACGATATATGTATACCTGATTTCAATCAAAGAGACAATATGTGTGAGGGCTGTGATACTGCGCGGGTGCCCGAACCGAAGCAGGTGGTTCTCCTAAGGCGCCACACCTTGAGCCTTCGACCTGAATGTCTGATCCAGAAGGCACTGGAGCATCGTAAGGAGATGCAGTCCCATGGAAGCCCGTGACCAACAATTGGTCCATACGCCATTTGTTTCTTTCAGGATACTGGAGCCAATGTGCACCATTGATTTGGAATCCGGTTAAAGTGCCGGACGTTCGCTTCTCGTCCTCTCATTTTCGTAGGCAACACCCCTGCCACGAGAAGGCAGTGAGTAGGACTTCTCTGGCAGAAGCTATATACGCGTGGCCATGTGAGAGCATTTCGAGAGGGAGAGCGAACTCTCCCCACTCTCGGCCGTACCAGGGCCTTTGGAGGCTCATAGAATTTGTACCTCTGACATGGTGGAAAAAGATGAAAAGTCACTGACTGATACATTAATAGCAAAAGCGCAAAAGTCAGTTGATGCCAAGACCTCTAATTTATTCAGTTCCAAAGAAAAAAAGTTTATATCAATCTACCATATAGAAGCGAATCCAACAGCATAGTTTTAAGACAGAGATTGAAAGCAGCCATCGAGAATACCTATCATTACAATTTCTTATTCTTTCTCTCTCCCTTTGTTACTCTTTCACTTGGACTTTCATTTAATTGACCTTTATTAATTTTCATATAAAAAAATGCCCTGACAAGTATATGTGTGACCAGATTGTTCGAATGTATAGAGCAAATACATCACATTTTTCAGATTAAATCCGTCTTCTCATTGTTCTATCGAAATTTATAAAAAAGACTAATTGCATTAGAATTCTCTTAGATAAACATTTCCATGACTCTTATGAAGAACTCAATAAAAAACTACAGTAGAAATGCTATTGGCTTCTATCATCAGCTAATTCAGGTAACGCCTTAGACCACCCTAAACAGATTTCTTTCTAGTTATGGCTCATATACTATTTGGTAGACTAACTACTAGTGTTGAACCTGACTCGTCTTGGTAATTGGTTGAAACTGAAGCAGAGGCTCATTTTAGTATACCGATCCGTTTAGGATGAGACATTGACTGGCCACCAAATCACAAGATGAGCTTGGTGAGAATTAAACAACAACCAATAGAGATAGGCACTTTAGGAGTGTGCGTTTCGTACACAGATATGCCAGTGATAGCCGGTCGTGATGTAACCAATCTATGTTCAGGCTGGGATGATACCTCAAGGTAAAGACATCGACTAAAACGGTGCCGCAAGTTGGTGCTGATCAGGAAAGGGTTGAGTCAGTGCACAGCTGCAACTGGAGATTACTGTTATCTGACCTGATAATTAACAAGCCACCAATAGCAACCGAAGCGACTTTTATTTAACTAGAGACCCGTCCTGTGCATTTAAATCTCCGGTCAACACTATAGTAACCATCAAATACGCTTTTTTGAGATCATCTAATTCGAAGTAAAACTCATCCTTAGTCACATCCGGGCTGTAATCCGTTGTCACTTTCATAAAATCCTATTGGAAATCCATGTTCGGTGAGAACAGTGAAAATTTAGACCGGTCAGTAGTTTGAGTTTGTTTAGAAATTTTATCATAAGCAAGCTGCCATATGAGCTGGGAAATAAGAACTAACATTGAATGAGAAAAAGCACTTCAATTAAATGGATATAAACTATCTATTGTGTTAGTAGTAAAATGGAAAATGTATATCACCAAATCCATCATAAGTATTCACGATCGTATTCGCAAGTGGATTCAGTTACTGATCAAAGAATGTTTTATTAAGGAGCGTCGTCAACCTATCGACCTGGAGGCCTAATCTACAAGGCAGGGAAGAAAAGTCAGGAGACGTAATTCTATGATACCCAGGACGATTTTATGAGCCATTCGATCCTCAGGATTGTGAAGTTTATTTGGACTACTGGTTTGAAATAAGTTTTTTTAATCTTTTGCATGGATCCTACATGAATATCGAAGAAGGCTGAAGATAATCAAAAAAAGAATTGGAATTAGACCGTGAAATCACTAATTGTTGGAGTGAACCATGTTAATGAACACAGACTAACAGATTGTCGACCAATCAGTCATATGTAGAGGAGGACCCGGCACACATGTGCTCGGTTCAGGTTGAAATTACAAAGGAAAATCCAAGTAGTAGAAATGGTAGTAATAGTGACAGAAATAAATCAAACCCTTGGGAAAAGTGACCAGAGAAGAAAGAATAAATAGATAGAATGAAAAACCATATGACAACTTTAAAAATTAAGATCTCAGAGAAAACAAGCAGTAAAAGTATTCGCTTTATTACAACCAATTCTGAGGCACATCACCCAATCACCAACCACTGGTCAACATAATCGCACGGACCTCGATCAGTTAGTCTGAACCAGTTTAACCCAACAGCCAATAGCTTCAGAAATCGTTTCCTCATTTCCATGTGGAGAGTTGGTATTCTTCTAGCCTAATACTCTACTCATCAACGTCTCGCCTAAAGGGAGTCAGTAGTCGGAGCGTGAGTGATTATCGTGACCAATGGTTGGAAGAACAGGGTGATATGGCGTAAAGTTCAATACAGTGGCACAGATGCACTTACTACTTATCTTCCTTTCCATCTTTATTTT